ACCTAGACCAGCTAGGGTTCATGCTTGAATAAGAGTCTGGTATATATTTTGGGCAAACCGTTTTTTGTGGGATCACCCTTAAAATTTATACCAGACCCCTATCTAGAATAAAGTTTTGGTATAGATTTTGGGGGGAACCCCACATTGTTTTCTTTTTGTAAAAGTAGAAGTGTGGGTTGTGCTGTGCTCTTACTCTGGTCAGGGCAGCAATCCTCCATACAGCAGATGACACTGGTTGGCTCTTGGATCGGGCTGTACACAGGATCAGGGACGGACTGACAACTCATGGGGCCCCAGGCAATAGGGGATCATGGGGCCCCTGTGTCCTTGCCCAAACTCAAAAAAGCCTATGAAAAAGGTACCAGGGGCATCTCATGGGGCCCCCTACTGACTCCGGGCCCTCGGGCAGTGCCCGAGTTTTCAAATGGTCAGTCCGCCCCTGCACAGGATGATTACCCCACCCCCTTTCTCTTCCAATGACTGCTTATCTCTCTGCAGCAGTGAGCCAGGGAATGAATCAAACACTGAACATGCTGATGTAAGAGCGAACCTGTGTCATCTGCTTTATGGAGGATCACTCCTGTCAGTGCAGCAATCCTCCATACAGCAGATGACACAGGTTCGCTCTTGGATTGGGCTGTACACAGGATGATTACCCCACCCTGTTTTTTTTCCTCCAATGACTGCTTATCTCTCAGCAGCAGTGAGCCAGGGAATGAATCAAACACTGAACATGCAGATGTAAGAGTGATCTTGTGTCATCTGCTTTATGGAGGATCGCTCCACTGACAGGAGAGGAGAGCCCAGCCTGCACATCCCAGCACTCTCCTGTCATTTCTCCTTTGCAGACTTCACTGCTCCAGGCTTCTCTCCCCTTGTCCTAGGGATGGGAGAAGGAACTTCGTGGCCAGGCAAGGCATCCGTGGAAATACCAGCCTGGTGGGATGGGGGGGGCGGGGGCACAACTGAAATCTGGGGGGCGTAGCTCACCCCAGCACCCCCCTAGATCTGGCTATGGCAGAGAATAGAGAAACCAGGGGCTGTGGCTGCACCCTAGGCGGCAGTATGCCCTAGACGACTGCCTAGTTCACCTAGTGGTAGCGCTGGTCCTGTCTGTGAGGTTCTTTATGAATTCAGGCTACAGTGAACTTTAGAGAACTGGGAACATAAACTAATCGTATGACTTTAGTCATCTGCAAAATTTAGACAGCTGCAAAATTTGCTCAATAGCATTATGAGCTCACTTTAGATTTGTTATACTCATTAGAGTTGGTTCACTGCATACCATACATGTTCCTTGAAAATACACAAGACTTTAGTGCTTATTAATTTTGATATTGGATGTTTAGCGTTAGATTGGATTAATAGAAGAACAAATATCATTTTCTTAACATGCATCAACACATTCATTTGGCTAACCTTGAACCCATCATATCCACATCTCTGAAAGAACTATTTTTTTTAAATTGTATTTGACAAATTAAATCTGTTTTGGAAAAAAAAAAACCTTTGGTAAGGCTACACTGACATTGTGCTTTTTTTTACATGTATTACTATTAATTTCCATGGAACGTTTGTTTTGCTGAAAGCCAAAGATTCCAGCAAGTAGATTGTTTTTATGTGCCACACTAAAATACAGAGGTATCAATGTAAGAAAAAAAAAGACTATTTGACAAAAAAAAAAAAAAAAAAAAAGAATTAACCAGGAATCTCATTGCAGGCTAGGGAACCTGATTGTTGCCTGTTTATTGTCTATTTTTTTCTGTGTTTTTTGCCTCTACTGATCTGTATTGATTACTGTGGTCATTCATGAGAAATGAAAGCAATAATATTATTCCGGCATCCAGGACCCTCCTACAGCATTATATATATTTACAGAGAAAATCCCAGTGGTCACAGTGGGGCCTACTTATGTGGTCAGAGTGAAGCTCGCCCACTGCGACAAAGACCACATCAAACACTTAATCTTCGGCGAATTAAAAAAATTCATTTGAGGTTACAACAAACGTGCATTATACCTTTTAAGCCTTACATGTTTTAAATTTTATTTTATCCTGAGCCAGAAAGGGATAAGAATTACCGCACTGCAAACAGTGATAAGACATAAGCACCTTAGTGACATGGAGAGAAATAAAAGCTGCCTGGGGCTTTTTACTCTGTCTTTTGCTGTCTCGTAACACAAAAACTAGATTCAGTCCTGTTCCTATTCACCCGCTTTTTTTATGCACTTTATGTTCCTTCGTCCCTCTTCTGACATTTGTTAGGAAAAAAAATATTTCTGGTCTCAGGGATGTGGGATGTCGGAACGGCTGGGATGTACTTCATTATGCTTCCTTTTGATGCTTCCGTTCTAATTTGTTGGCCTCAGTTTGCCCCAGAGCAAGTCATGTGCTTGAGCAAACCTCGCTCACCCCCTAGTTTCCATAGCAACACCATACAAAATACCCTGAAGTTCCCTACACTGGCCACAGATTTACATTACAGATTTCTGGACTACTTGAGTAGCAGCATGATCACACAGGTGTATGGATATTTCCTAAGAGCCTAAACCCCCATTACTACTCTGTCCTAATAGCTGAATATCATATGATTAATCGGTTCTAAATGTATTTAGGAATTGTAAATAGACCTTAAACATAATGTAAACACCAGTACAAATTTTCAGGATGCACAAAACAAAATGAGTGACCATGCACTATGCAAATTTTACAAACAGTGCCTAACCTTTAAGCACCACCTGTTGTGTTTTCAATCTGGGAGAACAGTTTAAAGGCCTACAAAAGTGAGGCTGTGGTGCTGTGGAGAAAACCAGCATCGTTTAATTAAGGTGCATAGATAAAGTGAACCGGTCACTATGGGGTGACTTTCACTCCAAAGGTCGCCCGTAAAAGAAGAGTGAATATACTTGTTTTGGCAGACAATGTATTGAATGGCCGCTGCTTCTCCACTCCCAGCTTCTGCATGTATTCTACATTTCTGGGTGTGTGCAGTTCTTCATGCCAGCTTCTGTGATTCCTTCAGATGGCCTGTAGTGACCTGAACCAGGGGCGGACTGACAACTCATGGGGCCCCCGGGCAATAGGGGATCATGGAGCCTCTGTGTCCTTACCCACACTCAAACCACACCCAAAACAGCCTATGAAATGTACCAGGGGCATCTCATGGGGCCCGCTACTGACCCTGGGTCCTCGGGCACTGCTCGAGTGCCGGAATGGTCAGTCCGCCCCTGCTATGAACTTACTGGATTTGACCTGACAATACCAGAATTTACCTCCAGTTGATGGGTCATTACCATAATTGTTACATTTCTGGAATTTCCATGGAAACAAAGTGCAGCATGGGTGTAATTCATGCAATACTTGTTCTCCATGCCAGCTTCTGTGATCCCTTCAGGTCTGTAGTGCCTTATGAACTTACTGGATTTGACCTGACAGTACCAGAATTTACCTCCAGTTGATGGGTCATTACCGTAATTGTTACATTTCTGGAATTTCCATGTAAACAATGTGCAACATGGTGCAATTCATGCAATACTTGTTCTTCATGCAAGTTTCTGTGATCCCTTCAGGTGGCCTGTAGTGCCTTATGAACATACTGGATTTGACCTGACAGTACCAGAATTTACCGTAATTGTTACATTTCTGGTATTTCTATGTAAACACAGTGCATTATGGGTGATGTGACATACGCTGTATTTATTTAATTTATTTATTACAGGTACTTATATAGCGCCATTAATTTGCACAGCGTTTTACATATATATTGTACATTCACATCAGTCCCTAACCCTCAAGGGGTGTACAATCTAAGGTTCCTAACTCACAGTCATACATACACATACTAGTTCCGATTTAGACAGGAGCCAATTAACCTGACAGCATGTTTTTGGAGTGTGGGAGGAACCCAAGGCACAGGGAGAACATGCAAACTCCAGGAAGGTGGTGCCATGGTTGGGATTTGAACCAGTAACCCTAGTACTGCCAGGCGGAAGTGCTATCCATTTAGCCACTGTGCTGCCCAACTGTACCCTACATTTACTGGCTGCCAGGAGAGGAGGAGGGAGGAAGAAGAGGAGAAGCTCTGTATGAGCATAGTGGCCTAGGCAGGGGTGAGTTGCCCCCATCGCTGATACCTCAGGATTTTTGCTGGCAGGAACAGAGGCACAGGGAACTGAAGATACCACCAATATCAGTGCTTATCAATATATGTGCTTGGTTGTGTATGTGTATGAATGTACATGTGTGTTGAATGCATGTATGTGGAGGTATGTTGTATGCAGTATGCATGCATGTGTATGAGTGTAGTATGCATGTACAGTATGTGTATGCAGTATGTTGTATGCATGTATGTGTATGCAGTGTGCATGTGTATGTGTGTTGTATGCATTGTCGGGATCAGAGGGGTAAACAGGTTCTTGGCAGACAGTTCAGTCAAATTTAAATTCTCACAGGTCTCCTCACAACAGATAGCAAAACTACCATCCACCAGCCTCTCTGATCAGCTGGTTAATAAACAGGCCTTTACAATTAACTCCCTCCTAAACCTGTCCCAGGCTGACTCTCCATGTGTATGCAGTTTGTATGTATGTTATATGCATGTGATTGCATACTGTATATACTGTATGTTTGCATGTATATGTATGTTGCAGGCCAAGTATGCTGTATGTATGTATGTAGGTATGTATGTGCATACATGGTACTGCTGTGGTATGTATAAGTGGGTTGTGGTAAAAGAATCACAGGGAGTGCAGTGTGCTGGGCTGTATATCCTTCCGACTCTTATACTATGTACGAGGTGGTATCAAAAAATTTGACTACCTCTGTTTACAAGAAAGTACTTTGTCTAGGTTTAACTGCTTTCCGCCCGCCATATAAGGAAATAAGGCAGTTCTCTCATTCTCAGAGGACGTCATGTGACGTCCTCCCACCCTAACCACGCAGCGTGGCAATTGGTTTTGCGCTGTGTCCCACAGACACAGCGGATCACCGATCAACGGAAAGAGCCGAAGACGTCGGCTCTGTCATGTGATCAGCTGTGTCCAATCACAGCCGATCGCATGTAAATAAAGAAATGTCGATTATCGGTATTTCTCTCCTCACGAGCTGAGGAGAGCCGGTAATCGGCATTCCTCAGAGGGGACATCTACACTGATCATCAGGGCACTGATGATCAGTGTGCCCGGATGATCAGTGTAGCCCCAGCAGTGCCACCTGTCAGTGTCCATCAATGCCAGATGTCAGTGCTCATAAATGCCACCTGCCAGTGCCCATCAGTGCCACATCAATGCAACATATCAGTGCCTACCAGTGCACATCAATGCCACATATCAGTGCTCATCTGAGCTGCCTTTCAGTGCCACCTATTTCAGTGCCAGTCTTATCAGTGCCAGTCAGTGCCGCTTATCAATGCCCGTCAGTACTGCCTATCAGTGCTACCTAACAGTGCTAGCCAGTGCCGCCTATCAGTGCCCATATATGAGTGATGCCTTTCAGTGCCCATCAATGATGCCTGTCAATGCCCATCAGTGCCACCTACCAGTGCCTCCTCATCAGTGCCCATCAGTGCCGCCTATCAGTGCCCATTACTGCAGCCTCATTAGCGCACAACAGTGAAGGAGAAAAATCACTTATTTACAACATTTTATAACAGAAACTAAGAAAACATTTTTTTTTTCAAAAGTTTCAGTGGTTTTTGGTTTGTTTAGCAAAACATAAAAAACCCAGAGGTGATTAAATACCACCAAAAGAAATCTCTGTCTGTCTCAAAAAAATGATAAAAATTTCATATAGGTACAGTGTTGCATGACCGCGCAATTGTCATTCAAAGTGTGACAGCACTGAAAGCTGAAAATTGGTCTGGGCAGGAAGGGTGTATAAGTGCCTTATAGGCTAGTGGTTAAGCATTAGCACCTCCAAAATAGTCCCCATTGCTCAGCAATACAGTGCTCTCGGCATTCCTGCCACTGTGTCCTGGAAGGCTTCTTTTAGAAGCGTGTAACACACCTTCTGCTATTCATGCTGGATTTCTGCAATGTTGTCAAAATGGTGACCTTTGATCCAGATCTTCATCTTTGGGAAGAGGGCGAGGTCCACAGGAGCCAAATCTAGCAAGTAAGGTGGGTGCGGAAGCTAGATCATTGCAGCCTGGAGATGAACTTGACATCAACATGCAGCATGGAGGATTGCCTGGACTATTCCGTATGACATACCGGCAATGGCAGCAATGTTGTGGATTGTTCTCGGGCGATCATGCACAAGCTGCAGAATGGTTTCAACATTTTGACATTTTTGAAGGTTCAGCTCGTTGAAGGTCTTTCTGATCTCTCAACATCTTCCAGTGATGTAATTCCGCTCTTGAAGCATGCATGCCACTCAAACGCCTTGGACAACTCATTGCAGCATTGCCATAAACTTGTCAAATCTTGTCAAACGTCTCTGTCACAGATTTGCCCAGGTTCACACAGAATTTCACATTTGCTCTTTGTTCTAACTTGCTGTCCACGATGAAATAGCAGATGTGGTAACACACGTGATCAGAATAGCACCAGTTGCGCAGCTCCCGATGTACACATGGCAATGTTGTTTGGAACACTTATGAAGGTTGGTGCTCTCTGTGACTTTGCGCGCAGCCTTGTACTGCCATCTGTTAGCATGTCACAAAACCAGTATTGAATCTTTTTGATACCACCTCGTACATTACATACAGTGGGGCAAAAAAGTATTTAGTCAGCCACCAATTGTGCAAGTTCTTCCACTTAAAAAGATGAGAGAGGCCTGTAATTGGCATCATAGGTAGACCTCAACTATGAGAGATAAAATGAGAAAACAAATCCAGACAATCACATTGGCTGATTTGGAAAGAATTTATTTGCAAATTATGGTGGAAAATAAGTATTTGGTCACCTACAAACAAGCAAGATTTCTGGCTCTCACAGACCTGTACCTTCTTCTTTAAGAGGCTCCTCTGTCCTGCACTCATTACCTGTATCAATGGCACCTGTTTGAACTTGTTATCAGTATAAAAGACATCTCATCTTTTTAAGTGGGAGAACTTGCACAATTGGTGGCTGACTAAATACTTTTTTGCCCCACTGTACACCTGACCCATGTACTCTATGCATTACCCACTACTGACTCCCACACTGTACATTACATACCTGACCCCTGCTATATGTACATTACCCACGCTGGATCCCTGCCCCATGTACTTTACGTACTTCCAACTCCTGAACTCTATACATAGGCTCAAATTTTAAGGCCCTCCCGCTGTGAGCACAATTTTGCCAAAACTTCTATTTGCCACGGTGCACTATACACATCACCATTAGCCCCACCCAACTCTTTGCCCATATTCTCTGGTATTCTGATTTTCAAAAGGTTCCCAGGTATGTATACGAGTCATTGGGAACACAGTGACCAATGGGGGTATAAAAAATACACTTTTTACTTTTATTTCTCATACAGTGGTGGGTATAATATGTGTCTTTTCATTTCTATTATAAGGCATTCAACGAACAGTGCTTAAGATAACATTTAGGATAGGTATCACCAGACTGGTCCTTAGCTCTTGACTTGGCACCTCCACATGCTTCAAGGGTAATTCAGCAGCAAAACTGAGAATGGGAAGCTTGTAGGGATTGCCTAATGGAATCAAAAGTAACATGAAGCCAATACCAGGCAGGCAGATTATGTATAACACCAGGCCAGGCAGATGCTGAAAACGAAGGTAGGGCTCTAAGGACATTACCAGAAATCACAGAGCACCAATAGCACAAAATGTTTAAATATGCCCCCCCCCCCCCCCCCCCCCCCGAAAAAAAAAACACAACATGTACAACACCCTAAATATCATGACAAGTTATGAAGGATAAAAAGTTGTGGCAGTGATAGTGAAGTATGTACGGATCTGTAAAGGGAGAGGGTGTGTACAGCACAGTGTTTAGAATGGAGTGGTGTGGAATATAAAATGTACAACACAACACACAGAATAAGTCAGTTTGGAACAGGGATTGTACAGCACTGTATACAGAATGGGATTATGGGGTATATAAAATGTACAGCTCAGCATACAGAATGGGTCAGCATTTCACACAATGCAAGACAATGTAGAATATGTAATTTACAGCACAGCATGCAGAATTAGATGATATGGAATATAAAACTTACAAGTCTTAAAGAATGAGCCAGACTCCAGAGTGATTCCAGCCTCATGGCGTGTAGGTCAGCATCCTAGATATGTGCTGAGTTACTTTATATCTGCCCATTAGATCACAACCTCACTTGCCCCTTACTAATGATTACCAATCTCCTGGGCCCCTAGATACACAACTCACTTCACAAGGGTCCACCTGCAGAATAAATGGTACCTAGGTTCACAGCCAATATCCTCAAACATCATTTGAGTGACACACCCTGCTCATTTTCCTCCGGGTGCTGTTTTCTAGTCTCATGTGGAGACAGGACTCCCATTGAACAGTTAATTGCACACCATTCCTTGCAGACACTATTGCTATGCTCACTAAACCCAACCAAGCTTCACCCCTAAAGTCCTTTGCACCACAATTACTGTGCCATAAATGACAGCCTCACACATAAACCTCAGGACACAATTATTTCAAAAGAGTAAGCCCCACTCCATCTCTTATGCTTTTATGCACACAGAAAAGTATCACATTGTCTGAGCCTGAGAACTTAATAAACCAACTATTGAGATAATGAACACTTTTCCCAGGACTATGTAATGTACAGCAAAGTGTATACAGTACAGGAGTAAGGCGTATGTGACGTAAAACATAGGATGGGCCTACAACAGGTGCCGTCATCAAGCATGCAGACCTTGTTGGATGGTCGAGACTGTTAGCTTGCAAGCCCATAGGAATGCCATTCGGATCCACAAATGATAAACAAATGTTCATAAATCCAGTTTTGTTTTACCAACATGTGAGTGTACAGGAGTAAGGACTATGTGACATAAAACACAGCATGGGCCTACGACGGGTGACGTCATCATGCATGCGGACGTTATTGGATGGTTGAGACTGTTAGCTTGCAAGCCCATAGGAATGCTATTCGGAGCCACAAATGTTCATAAAGCCGGTTTTGTTTTACCAACATGTGAATGTGCATTTTAACCCTTTATTAAACTTTCACCATACAGTTGTACTCTATTTGAGTATCTTATATGTCTTATCTTCGAGTTTTGTTGGTGACACATTCCACATTGGCTCCAAAGAAAAATGCAGTTTGGTTTGAGGGAGACCTAAATTTCCTGAAGCACTTCAAGACCCTCTGTAATACAGAGGTCAATAGGTTCTAGTAGGGAGCTGTATTTGCATCTATGGTTGGGGTGCACTGTGAATCACTTTTCAGAGAGGTTATATGGACTTCTCACAAGGTGTCTTTTTACTTTGAAGTGTAAAGATTTCTTCTTGCACATCGTTGTTTATATTTGTGGACTTTTGATGTACTTTTGATACTATTGTGGACTGGATTCAGTTCTTTATACATAACATTTTGTAAATAATTCAGATGTAACTTTTATATACCTTTTAAATAGCTTCCTTTGCACTTCATTGTCATGTATCATGTTAATTACTGATTTGTAGTGCTGCACTTTATTTTTTATTTGTAAAACACAGCATAGCAAGAGCAGCTACCAGGCTGGAAGAAAGGGAGGAAAAGTGATAGGGGAAGGAAAGAGGGTAAAGAGGGAGATACAGTAGAAGAAGGAGGAGGAAAAAAAAAAAGGAAGGGTGATGGAGCAAGAGAGCAAGATGGGTAGTATGCCTGACTTCATCACAAAGATCGTGAACCTCTTGGGGACTAGAGAGGTAGACAACAATTCAGGCTCATTAATATCTATAATAAATTTATTACCAAAAATGAAGAACAAGGATAACCCACTTCTTTGGATGAAAGGTAGCTTTTAAATGTATATCCTTAAGTGACTGTCACTTAATCATGGGGAGTTTAAAGGCAGCATGGTATCGAGGACAAGAAACAGAGCAATTTTGGAGAAAATTCAGATTCAGTGTCCCCTCCATCTTCATCATGCCTGGCGTGCTACAGAAGTACGTACCAATTGTAACCACAGAAGTAGATGCTTCTTCTGTGACTCTGACTGATACAATCATGGTATTTTATGTGTCCTATGGATCAATAAACATACACTATATTCATCAATCGTCTGGGGTGCGGCTCACCCTTCTTCCTATTGCATCAAGTGTGGTGGCGAGCCAGAGCCTGCACCTGTCGTGGATTGATCTGGATTGTTTGCCTGAGCGGTACACCTCTGTTCTTTGGATTCTCCCCTAATACTCACCTGAGCCCCCTCTCAATCTAGCGATGTCTCCCTCTCCTCAATGGCTGAGAAACAGCAGTGGGAGCCATTGGCTATCACTGCTGTCGATCACAGCCAT